CTCCATAAATGGGATGTTAGAGGACAAGCAAAGGGCTAGAAAATAGTATTGTAGTATGTGTGCACACGTATAGGGGCTGTAGTATTTATAGGGAGTGTTGTGTGCATGTACAGGATCTGTAGTGTGTATGTAGGTAATGTAGAAGATGTCATGTATCTGGACTTTAGTGTGTGTAAGAGTGTAGAAAGTGTGTATATGTAGGGACTGCAGATAGTATGTGTGTATAGGGTGCCCAGTGTGTGTGTAGGGGATCAGGGGATGTAAGTGTGTATATGTAAAGTGGATGTAATAGGTGTGTGTGTGTGACTGTGTGGGTGGGACTGAGGCTGTGTTGTGGGGAGTGAGGTAAGGACTTATAGAGGTGTATGCCTGATGAGGGGGTGGCAGGAAAAATGTAATACTTTTTTTTAATTTTTACCATGCGTGACCCTAGTCGTTCAGTGGTGAGACATCCTAGCCTGCACCTACAGCAAGTGCAGACTGAATGCATGTCTCTCATGAGTAGTGATGCACCGAACGGATCGCCGGCGAACAGTTCCTGGCGAACATAGCGTGTTCGCGTCCGCCGCGGACGGCGAACACATGCGCGGTTTGATCCGCCCCCTATTCGTCATCATTGAATAAACTTTGACCCTGTACCTCACAGTCAGCAGACACATTCCAGCCAATTAGCAGCACACCCTCCCTAGCAGACCCTCCCACCTACTGGACAGCATCCATTTTAGATTCATTCTCAAGCTGCATGCTTAGTGAGAGGAGGGAAAGTGTAGCTGCTGTTGATTTGATAGGGAAATGGATAGCTAGGTTAGTGTATACAGTGTCCACTACAGTCCTGAAGGACTCATCTGATCTCTGCTGTAAGGACAGCACCCCCAAAAGCCCTTTTTAGGGCTAGAACATCAGTCTGCTTTTTTTTTCTTCTGTGTAATGTAATTGCAGTTAGTCTGCCTGCCAGCTTCTGTGTCAGGCTCACAGTGGATACTGTGCCCAGTGCCACCACTCACACACTGGTGTCACAATAGCTTGCATTTAAAAAAATAATAATTTTTTTTTTCACTATAATAGATTGAATAGCAGTTAGTCAGTGTCCTTAAAGCGGTGTGTCAGGCTCACAGTGGATAATGTGCCCAGTGCCACCACTCACTCACTGGTGTCACAATAGCTTGCATTTAAAAACAAAAAACTTTTTTCACTGTTATAGATTGAATAGCAGTCAGTGTCCTTAAAGCGGGTGTGTTAAGCTCACAGTGGATACGGAGCCCAGTGCCACCACTCACTGGTGTCACAATAGCTTGCATTTAAAAACAAAAAACTTTTTTCACTGTTATAGATTGAATAGCAGTTAGTTGTCTCAAAGCGGGTATGTCAGGCTCACAGTGGATACTGTGCCCAGTGCCACCACTCACTCACGGGTGTCACAATAGTTGCATTTAAAAAAAAAAAAGTTTTTCAGTGTAAGCTAATAGCAGTCAGTGTCCTTAAAGCGGGTGTCAGGCCTCCTTCAGCATGTGCTCTGCAGACCTCTGACCGTGTACTTTGCCACTCATATCTGGTGTATCTACAGTGTGCTTTTACAAACAAAAAAGTTTTTCAGTGTAAGCTAATAGCAGTCAGTGTCCTTAAAGCGGGTGTCAGGCCTTCAGCGTGTGCTCTGCAGACCTCTGCCAGTGTACTTTGCCACTCATATCTGGTGTCACAATAGCGTGCATTTAAAACCAAAAAACTTTTTTCACTGTTATAGATTGAATAGCAGTTAGTTGTCTCAAAGCTGGTGTGTCAGGCTCACAGTGGATACTGTGCCCAGTGCCACCACTCACTCACTGGTGTCACAATAGCTTGCATTTAAAAACAAAAAACTTTTTTCACTGTTATAGATTGAATATAAAAGTGGCCTCTTCGAGAGAAATATTTCCCACAATCAGAACAAAAATAAGGTTTCTCTCCTTGATGGCTCCTCAAATGATGCTTAAGATTAGAAGCGGCTGAAAAGCATTTCTCACACTCAGAACAAAAATATATATTTTTTTAACATTCTCTCCACTTTGAACGAAATGACGTTTGGGAAGAGATTTTGTATGAGTAGGTTTTTCATGTACGATACGGGAACATGATTTAGATCCTTGGTAAGTGTTGCGAGATCCAATAGTGTGTATGTAGGGGGAACAGTCAATCCATATCTGCCAAGTGACCCTATGTAGGAGGAACAGTCTCTATTCTGCCCTGATGTCAGCTCTTGCGCTGGTATATCCGGCAGAATGTCAAGCTCTGTACAAGGGTCAAAGGGAGGGCAGAGGCCAACTGCACTCTGCCCAAATGCCAGCTCTTCCGCTGGTATAGGCTGCAGGACATCAGGCTCTGGACAAGGGACACAGGGAGGGCAGAGGCCGACTGCACTCTGCCCAGCTGTCAGCTCTTCTGCTGGGGTGCTGGGAACATAGTCCGGCTCAGTAGCCAGGGGAACATGGGAGTCAGTGGGGGTTAACATCTCCTCTGTTAACCCTGGGGCCAAGTTAGGAGTTAGCTGGGGAGGGGAATTCGTACTTACCCCCTCCTCCTGTTGTCCCTGTGAGGGTAGTTGGGGATCTGGACAGGCTGTCCAGCCTCCCTGTAGGTTGGGCACGGAGACCATGGTCCCCTCTGCGCCATCTGGGAGATTGGTGTCTCCCCTTGGAAGGGTAAGTTGCCGCTGGGGAGATAGGGTGCTGTGCTCCTCTCCCTGAAACACAGTCTGCCGCTGGAGAGGGAGATCGCCTGTCTCCACTCCCATAACATTGTCCTGCTGCTGGAGAGAGAGACCAACTGTCTCTGCTCCCGGTAGGACACACTGCTGCTGAGGGGGGATGGACGACACCTTCGGCCCCCTGGAATTCACACTGCTGCTGGGGAGGAAGGGCGACACCTTCGGCTCCCTGTAATTCACACTGCCGCTGTGGAGGAAGGACGACACCTTTGGCTCCCTGTAACTTGCACTGCTGCTGGGGAGAGAGACCGGTTGTCTCTTCTCCCTTGTCAACACACTGCCGCTGGGGAGTCAGACCGACTGTCTCAACTCCCAGTGATGATGGTTGTTGCAGGGACGAGGGACCGACAATCTCCTCTCCCTGGGATGCTGTCTGCCGCTGGGGAGAGAGACCGGTTGTCTCTTCTCCCTTGACAACACACTGCCGCTGGGGAGTCAGACCGACTGTCTCAACTCCCAGTGATGATGGTTGTTGCAGGGACGAGGGATCGACAATCTCCTCTCTCTCGGATGCTATCTGCCGCTGCGGAGAGAGATCA